TCTTATTATTTAACATTAATGACAGATCTTTGCCATGTTGAGTTTTTACAGCTGTTGCATATCAATGGAGACAAATTATTTGCAAGTTCATTTGAATTTGGTGAGCTCTGAAAAATCCTTAATCCGCCTTAATCTAATCCGTCTTCTCTTTATCGTGCTCGTCATTTTCTTTCCCCTGATTCCATTCTTTACCTCTACAAATCTCTTATTCGACTCTGTATGGAATACTGTTGTCATATGTCAAAGTCCAAAAACGCTTTGTAAACGTAGTTGGACCCGGTCTATATGCTAAGCTTGAGCCTCTTTTCCATCTTCGTTAAGTTGCATCTCTTTCTCTTTTCTAGAAATATTATCAACCGAATTCTAAAATCTGTTTCTAGAATGAAAATTAATGCTCAAATAACAACTATTTTTTACAGAAGTCCACTCGTCAAACGTAAGACTAAATCGATTTCCTTGCCGTTGAGGTTCAGATAATTCTTTTATTATCGAGTTTTGAATTTTAGTAGCAAATTTTATTTATTATTTGGCAAACGGATTCGTATGATTTTGGCACGTCAAAACTTCGAGCTATCAGCAATTTTCTTAGCTCATTGGATGTTATAAAAACTCTGAATCGCAAGCCATCGGTGGCCGTCATTTAAGCTAAAACATTCGGCAGTGAATCTTTGTCTTTTCATAAAATAAGTTAAAATTGTATTTCTAGCGAGTTGCAAATAAGGTGTAGTGGAAACACCAGCAGTAGATCGCGAAATTGAAACTTCAACTGGATAATGTTTCAATAATTTTATTTGGTGAGAAGTCTATAAATGTGTATAAAGTCCACTAGTCGAGCCACCACACGATACAGCTCCAGACATTTCGCACAAAAAGTGATAGGTAACTAAATATTAAAAATAATTAAAAGAAAAGCTTTTTTTATTTCAATAATCTAAGTTCTTTTCGGTGATACTTTCTCGCTTAGATATTTTAACTAAATATTAAAAGAGTTTAATATTTCAAAATATAAATATAACTTATTTAATACTTTGGTCACTAAATATTAAAAAAGGCTTTCTACATCAAGGAAATCTTTTTTTATCCGTTTTTATAATCAAAGTTTTGTTCGGTGATATTTTTGCGCTTATAACGCTTATAACGCACGAAGTCTCATCATAGTCATTAGAATATATTTCTTCTGACTATGGTCTCATCGAATAATTACTGTCTGTCGAAAAAACTTACCGGTATATACCGGTATAACCGACCTTAAGAGCTCGGTATCGGTATTAGAAAATGGCATACTGATTTTCGGTATACCAGTATTGAATGCACTAATTTCAGAGCATGGCCAGATCATAAGTCAAGTAAAATAAGGGTGAAAAAAAAATAACATTAGCATATGGAAAATAGTGTGTATATATATATATATATATATATATATATATATATATATATATATATATATATATATATATATATATATATATATATATATATATATAATAAATATATATACAATAAATACTTTATTATATATATATATATATATATATATATATATATATATATATATATATATATATATATATATATATATATATATATATATATAATAAAGTTATAATGTAGAATATATATATATATATATATATATATATATATATATATATATATATATATATATATATATATATATATATATATATATATATATATATATATATACACACTAGTGAGTACTTTTTTTTTTCCCTCTTAATCACAATTTTTATTTCTCTATTTTTATTATATTTTTTATATATGTTATTTTTTTTATATTTTCATTTTATGTCAATTTTTATTTATTCATTTTTAAATTTATTATTTTAGTAAAAAAATTTATTTTTTATTATTATTTTTATTATTTTCATTTAATTATTATCTATTATATTTTATATTTTTATATATATATTTACAAAAACGATTATTTACATTAATATAACTATATATATTAACCCTAACCCTAACCCTAAGCCTGACCTTGCTGCCTGGCCAAACCAAACCCTCGCTATATTCTTTAATATATATATCTGACGACTGGGATGCGGCCACATATGGGCCACTTATGTCTTATTTTTTGGGTTGCTATCGAGTCAATTTACAACGTATCTGTGGATATTGCAATTAAGTTTATTGTGAAAATATTAAATGGTTGAGGTTGAAAATTAAACAAAACAACTGAAAATTGAATAAGTGTTATGGAAATGAAGAAATACATTATAATAAAAATTTGTTACAATCTTGAGTGCTTTAAAATTAAGCTATGAATAAGCCGGTTTTTTTTTATTTAGCTTTTTTTTAGACTAATTATTTTTTTCGCGGTTTAAAGACTTCACTTAAGGATATTTTTTTATTAACAACGTGAAACTATTATTAAGTTGTTTTATCATTTGTTTTATCATTTTCCAACTTAAGTTTGTTGTTTTTTAGCCTTATTTTGCATAATTTTTTAATTTTTATGTAAATTACATTTTCGTTTTATATCATTTAATCATTTTTATTTACATCTTTTCACTTTTTTCAATTTCAGATCCCAAAATGAAACGTGTACAGTTAAGTGGTACACAAAAGAGAAAACAAGCTAAAGAAAAATAGCTCACTATTTGTGCTATTTTTCTTTAGCTTGTTTTCTCTTTTGTTAATTTTCTGCTCGTAGCTTTCTGTTGTGAAAGCTACGAGCAGAAAATTAACAAGTTATTTAGTTTTAGATCAGCAACAGGAAAAACAGGATTTTACTGACACTATCGGCCCTCTTGATAAGTCTACTATAGGCTGTTCTGCAAATCCAGACACTGCAATAGAGCTTAGTAATGAAACTTGTTGTAAGTGTAACCCTCTTCAGTCTTCTGTAGATGATGATAAAGATGAAAATGATAAAATTAATCAAGCAAAAGATCCAGGATTGTGGATTGACTTTTCCACTTATGATGTGGCTAACTGGGTTGACTCTGGGCCTTCTAACTGTCAGCATCATTTTGGTCCCTTTGATAAATCTTGCCATATTTATGCTGGAGGAAAAATAACAAGATATTGTTCCCAAAAACATTTCTATGGCACAAAAGCAAATGGTGAGCAGTACAGGAGAGAGTGGTTATTGTATTCACCATCCACGGCATCTGTGTATTGCTTTGTTTGTAAACTTTTTGCATCTACAGGTTCCACAAGTTTTGCTGATAAAAATGGTGGAAAAATAACATTTATGTTGATAATCACGAACAAAGCGCTACTTATAAAAACTGCATGTTAGTATACCTAAATCGTTGACAAGGCTCCGGTTTACTACAAAAGCTAGAAGAGCAAATAAATGAAGAGTATAGTTACTGGGAACATGTTTTGAGGCGAGCAATAGCGGTTATTTGCACTATAGCCGAGCGTCTGGTCTGGCTTTCAGAGGAACAAATAAAAAATTTTGACCTTTAGAAAATGGAAATTATTTAGGGCTGCTAGAGTTAGTCACTCAATACCCGATATTTCACATATAAATCAGTTAAGCGTTGTTATTCGATATGTAGTAAATAGAGAGCCCATTGAACGCTTTTTGACTTTCTTGGAGTTGCAAAATTACACTGGTGAAGGTATGGCAAAGCAAGTGCTGCAGTACTTACGTGAAGTTTGCAATATTGATTTTTAGAAATGCAGAGGTCAATCCTACAATAATTCAGCTAATATGTCCAGGTGCTACAAGGACATGCAAAAAAAAAATTCTTGAGGAAAATGAGTTTGCTAAATACATACCCTGTGCTGCCCATTCACTAAATCTTGTATGCAGAAGTGCCGTTGACTCCTATTTAGAGGCAGTAAACTTTTTCCATACAGTGCAACTGATCTATATTTTTTTCTCAGCTTCAACCAACAGATGGAAGATTCTGAAAAGGATGTCTTGTGAATGAAACGCTGGTAAAGTCTCTTTCCGATACCAGATGGGAAGCAAATGCTGTTGCAACTGAAGCTATTGTAAAGTCTCATCCTCATATTTTAAAAGCATTAGAATGTATACAAGAAGATCAGTCACAGAAAGGAGACACCAGATGAGAAGCAGAAAGCATTGCAAAGAAGATGCAAGAATTACAATTTGTTTTCATGCTTGTTTTTTGGAAAGAGGTATTACAGCATTTTCACAGGGTTAGTCAGGCTCTCCAAAAAGAGCATGTGAACTTAAAAACGTGTGCTGATTTGTATTCTTCACTAGTAGATCACTGATTTGTATTCTTCACTAGTAGATCACTTGCAAAAATCTAGGAATGAATTTGAAAAGATTTGAAGAAGATGCAAAAATAATGACACCAGGTGTGGATAATAAGTCAACTTTGACCCGTAATCGTAAACAAAAGACAGTGTTCAGTGATGCCCCTGAAGTATTTCTGAATGCCAGAGACAAATTTCGTATATCTGCATTCTACGCCATTGTTGACAAATTTGAGACAGAAATGAGTAGTCGAGGACAATTATATAATGATGTAGCAGATCAACTTTCTTGTTTAGTCGATGGATCATTATCACAAACATCTCAGTGTTGTGAAAAACCGATAAATGCTTATTAACTTATATGCAAAATTAACTTTGACGATATACTCAAAAGCTTTGCTAGATGTAAATTTAGAAGAAAAAAAACTTTAAAATGTAAATGACAATATCTTTTTGATTTTTTCATCTAATAAAAAAATACAGTTTGTATATTATTATTTCAAAATTTATTAACTATTAATTTTAACACAGAAATAATAATTAATGTAGGTTTTATATAAGTAGTAGTAGTACAAATTACAAACATATTTGTTAACAACTGTTTTCTTTGCATAATATTGAACATACCAGCGGTCACAGTCAGCGAAAAATCAGAGGCCAAGGGCAGAAGGAGGCACCGATGTGGGTTTGTGCATAGGGCACTAAAATGGTTTAATCCGGCCACATAGACCTACTAAAGACGCAAACTTCATTTAAACCGGTTCACTTTTTTGTTGTTATCCGGTTATCCGCTAAAATTTAAATTTCGATAATCTACAATGACAATCAACAACAGTGTTATTTATTTTGATATTTTAGCTGTAAAACATTATTTATAGATATATAAATGAAAATGGAATCCAGATATATAGAAGCAATGAGCAAGGAGGGTTGTGAAACATGTAGCATTCAAGACTGTTTCAATAAACTTTGCAACATTTTCTTAAAAAAGTTGACAACTAAAGTTTCAAGTTTTGTACGTCATAATGATGCTTATTTTATGCAAAAACTAAAAAAGAAGTTATACGAATCTTTGTATTTAAGTCTCTACTCGCCTTATATAAGTTTATCAAACTTTAATAAACAAATTATGAAAATTTCTCTTGAGCCGTTAAATGTTTATAATATGGTTGCAGAAAAAATATTTAAGCTTCAGATAGATGGTCGAACAAATGAAGCTGATCAACTTTACAATTGCTCTCAAAATTTGAAGGCATTGAATAATAATTCAGTTGATCAAGTTTTTCTTTTCTTGATACTGTTAGCAAATGATGTAAATAATAAAACTAATGAAAAAAAACTACAATTTGAAAAAAACTCAAAATTTTCATCACTATTTTTTCAAAATGATTTACGAGCAATGCATATTGATAATTGTGGAATTGATCAATTCGGAAGGTTTGTAAATTCAAATAGTTATAGCATTTTGTGATTGTGTGCACATGTACATATTTCTTTTTTTTTAATTTTCTTATGTAAGTTCTCTTAATAGAGTACTTAATTTAGGTACTCTTAGAAGTATTATTATTATAAAAGCTATTTTTTCAGAGTTAAGTATGAGTTTGTATATTAGGTTAAGTATAGCTTTGTAAAACACAACACACTCTACAACATAATTGGAGTTAAAAGTTCTACAGCATTCTAATTTGTAAAAGGGAGGTGTTAGTCACTTTAAGTAACCAAACAAAAAACTCTATTACCTTCCAACCTTTTTTATATATGATTATATTTACTTTTTATAGAATGCTGTATATGAGGTGATATATATATATATATATATATATATATATATATATATATATATATATATATATATATATATATATATATATATATATATATATAATATTCTATAGGACTTGTATGAAAAATATTTGATTAACAAAACACTTATTTAAAAAAAGAGAAACTAATGTATTAAAAATGTAATAATTAAAAGAATATCCCAGTGATTGTTAAAAACAAGTTTTGCTGCTAAAATCTGAAAAGCAAATCTATTTTCTATTTTTAATTGTATCAAGAATTTTTTTTGGGGCTTAATGAAAAAATATACAAATGAAAATGACTTGCTGATTCTGGGAAAAAAATACTTTGTTTCTTAATGATAAAAAACTGGGAATATACTTATGTGTCAATTCACCTGTTTGTTTTAGAGTCAAGTTTGAGTCTTCTGACTATTCTTTTATGTACCTTCTCTTAGCACCTCTAACTTAATCATCTTTTTATGTACCTTCTCTTAGCACCTCTAACTCAATTATCTTTTTTTTGTTCTTTATTGTTTTTCTTTACAAGAATCCACTCTTTTTGACTTTGTCTCCGATCAAATAAACCAAACTAAATCTCTTTATCCTTCATCCAATATTGTTACTGGTAGCTTTAATTCTCATTACATTTAATGACTTAGGTATCTGTACCACTGACTTTACTGTCTCTAAAGCTTACATTTTTTTTCTTTCTCAATCTCTTACTCTGATAGTTAACTTTTTGACTTGTTTTCCAGACATGGTATCTTAATTATTTATTAAATACTCGCATATGGTATTGTGGCATATGGTATTGTGAGAAATTATCTGGGATGGATAGAGAACTTTTTAACTAACAGAAAACAGAGAGTGGTCCTTGGCGACACTGTCTCAGATTGGCTACCAGTTATTAGTGGTGTACCACAGGGGTCAGTTTTAGGACCACTGCTGTTTTTGATTTTTATTAATGATTTGCCAGATCAAGTCAAAAACCCTATTAAACTTTACGCTGATGATAGTAAAATAATAAATATTATAAAAAATCCAAATGATTCAATAAGCCTTCAAAATGATATAAATAATATAATGGCATGGTCATCTATTTGGCTCACAAAATTTAATTATGAAAAATGCAAAGTTATGCATATTGGGAAAAAAAATCCAAATGCTACATTTATAATGACTGATATTGATTGCAATTACAATTATACATTGTGTAACACAAAAGCTGAACGTGATTTGGGTATAATGGTTCAATCCGATTTAAAATGGCACTCACAAGTTGATTCAGCAACCAGCAAAGCAAACAGAATGTTAGGTACCATAAAGAGAAGCTTTAAATATTTAGATGTAAACATGGTAAAAATGCTCTATACAACGTTCATACATCCACATCTTGAGTTTGCGGTCCAGGCATGGTCTCCATTTTTAAAACAAGACATTGACAAAATTGAGAAAATCCAAAAAAAAACAACCAAACTAGCACCTACAATTAGGAAATTATCATATGAAGCTAGGTTGAATATTATGCAATTAACTTCACTGGAAGAACGTAGACTACGTGGAGATCTGATTCAACAATATAAAATTCAGCATGGCCACAATAAAATAAATTGGGTTGCTAACGATTGTGGAAATGCATTGGAGGAGGGTCCATGTCTGCGACAGCACAAATTTAAAATGAGGAAGCCTTTTAGCAGAAATACCTTCAGGTATCATTTTTTCCCAAATCGAGTTGTAAATGCGTAAAACAGTTTACCATCTTAAATAATAGAAGCTACTTCAATAAATAACTTCAAAAACAAACTAGACAGAGCTGGATTTTGCAGAAACTATTTGTTAAAACACAAACAAAAGACAAAATGAGCTGTTACAGTGCAATATCTTATGTTATTGCACTTCGCAACTGTTTAAAACAGTTGTTACAGTTATACCTTATTATTATTATTATTATTATTATTATTATTATATATTTGTATATTTTCAAAAACTAATCCACTTCCAACAAAGTTGCAAGCATTCATTATTAAGTTATAAGTTACTAGAAAATAGAGGATAGTGTTAAAGAACAAGTAAACAGTTAGCTGAAGACTTAAAAAGTTGTAGGTTGTATAAATCAAAAAATGAAAATTTATAAGAGTTATGAGGTTTTGTTAATCTGCAAAGAAAAAAAAAACTGGATTAATAAAAGTTTTTACAGCATGAAGGTACAGATACAGTGAAAGGGTGCAACTTGCTGAATAAGAAGCCTAGCAAGAATGAGTTTTGGTTGATCGATGTAGAGATGATAGCTCATTTGAGCATTGACCATGATAGTATTTGTAGGAAAAAAAAAGAAATGCAACCCTACAACAATGGGAGAGTGGCTTAAGCTTAGCAGAAAAAGCAGGTCTAGTTACATTTACAATGTACTTTTAAACTATGTCTGATAGTGAGATGGTGATTTTTTGTCAATATAGGAACGTCAACACAATTGCAATATTTTTTTTGTAGTAAATAAATGAGATTTGTTGTTCAATAAAAATTGTGGATTTTAAGTTCACACTTAAAATCCACAATTTTTGTGGATTTTAAGTTCACACTTAAAATCCACAAGCCACTACAAACTCCACACTGTTACAGAAGAGAGATTAGATTAAAAATTGGCTGTTTGTTTTAAGTAGTCAAAAAGTGAAAACTTTTTTGTCAAGACAATAGTATAAAGTTAAGTTGTCAGCAAGAATTTTTTCTTGATTTAAAATGAGCCACGTTAGACATAAAATCATGAAGATTGCTATTGTAGATAAGAAACAATACAGAAGCACCAATAGAATCTTGCGGTACCCTTAAAGCTACTCGAAAAGAAGAAGAGTGTAGGTCTTCAAGAATAATTTTAATATTGCAGTTAGAAAGAAATGATTTAATAATTTCAAAACCTTTATAAAAAGAAATTGGTAATAGAGTGAAGACTAATCATAGGATAGTTAGAGAGGTCAGAGTATTTTCTAGAGTTTTTTAAAAAATGGAACCACTTATTTAGTACTTATTAATTGTTTAGCCAAAGTTAAAAAAAGTTCTGGAGAACACTTTTTAAGAATATAATGGAAGTATTAATTGAAGAATATGGCCATTAGATTCAAGAGTAAAGTTAGAGAAAAAGTTCTTTCCAAATATCTTTCTGCTCTATTCTCGGAAGAAGTTAAAAGACCAGACCCATGAATTTAAGATAAAATGTTAAGGTGCTTTAGTTAATGACACTGTTGAAGACTTTCCAAAAGTCTCTAGATTATAACATCTGAGATAAGATACAATTTTTAGTAAAGTAAGAATAACAGAGCTTAACATCAGACAATACGTTTATATATTCTTACATATTTATATAAACTTTTGTATTTATATGGTGTAGTATTTGCCAAAAAAGAAAATGATCAGATGGATGTGTGGTATGACTCTAACAAGACAAGAAAAGAAGGTCTAATCTTAGACAGGTTAGAAAAAAAATGTTGTATCAAACAATCTTTGCCAGAAAAGATTAAAGTGATTTAGGTACGATTTAGCATGTAGAGAGGTAGCAGCTTCATTAGAAAATGTTAGTGTTAGAAGTATTGTATGAATACATGTTGTATGAATGAGCATTAGTTATAGAAAAAAGAGAGATAGTTTATATTAGAAAAACAGCGCAAACAAGGATGGCTAAAACTTGATGATGATGATAATCATGATGATGATGATGATGATGTTGATGATTATAATGATGATGAGGATGATGATGATGATGATAATGACCATTATGACGATCTTGTTGATCATGATGATGTTTATATATGCATATATACACAAAATATGAGTTATGAATAAAAAAAATATACTTTAGGAAGTATAAATGTTTATGCAGCCGTGATCTTAAACCCAGCCCCAGTTATATTTTATCACACTCGGCCCCGGCCCCAGTCAAATTTCAACCCCAAATGTTTACTATCTGTGATTTGTTGGCATCAATTTTTTGTGATGAAGAACCATTATTTCTTATTAGAGCACCTTTATAGATTATTAAAGAAAAAAATCTTTTATTTTGTCTTGAGTTCAACAAATTACTCTCTAACAATTGATAACTTCTCTCTAACAATCAATTCAACTTTTTAATCCTCATTCTACTGCTGATTTGGTAATCATGATAACAGAAAGTTTCTACCATAAATCAGTTGCACTTTGACATATTAAAGGCTTTTAAAAAAGTCTGGTCTCCTTCAGAAGCTCTCTTCTAATGGTGTATTTAGAAAAGCTTGTAAATGATCATTCCTTACTAACCCCAGTATTAAAGTTGCCTTTGTTGAACAACATTCTCATTCATTTCCAGTAACTTCAGTCATTCTCCAACGTTTCCTTTTTGGTTCTGCGTTGTTTTTCAACTATATTAATGACCTTCTTGTTAATCTTACTGGGAGCTTTTACTTTTTACTGGGAGCTAATTTTTAAAAGATGAATTAAATCATTAAAATATTCTCTTCTATATATATCTTATATATATATATATATATATATATATATATATATATATATATATATATATATATATATATATATATATATACATATATATATATATATATATATATATATATATATATATATATGAAGTATATAATATATATATATATATATATATATATATATATATATATATATATATATATATATATATATATATATATATATATATATATATATATATATAGTATATATATATATATGTATATATATATATTATATACTTCATATATATATATATATATATATATATATATATATATATATATATATATATATATATATATATATATATGTATATATATATATATATATGTATATATATATATATATATATATATATATATATATTATATACTTCATATATATATATATATATATATATATATATATATATATATATATATATATATATATATATATATGTATATATATATATATATATACATATATATATATATATATATATATATATATATATATATATATATATATATATATATATATATATATATGAAGTATATAATATATATATATATATATATATATATATATATATATATATATATGAAGTATATAATATATATATATATATATATATATGAAGTATATAATATATATATATATATGAAGTATATAATATATATATATATATATATATATATATATATATATATATATATATATATATATATATATATATTATAACATATAGGTTATTGCAGTACCTATAAACAAAACACAATGAATGTTATGCGTGCTTTAAATACATAAGTTAAATATATGCATGTATGGTTTTATTAGTTCTTGTAGTGGATATATATATATTTATATATATATATATATATATATATATATATATATATATATATCTTCTAATATGTGATCTTTTATGACTTTCTGGACTTGCAGCAGCTGGTGAATTTTAACTTTAAAAAAGCTTTTTTCATGGATAATTACCTTAATGTTGTTCTTAGAATTACCATTCATCAATGTCAGAACATCATTTTCTACATGGAGCAATGGCAATTCTAAAGACAATGAATGTATAAAATTTTAACAAAATTAGGTCTGCTGGTGTTGGGTGTTATCTGATGATGTTTAGCATGTACCAGTTACTGTTACATATAATTTTGTTGCATTTTATTTCTAATTGGTTAAGCTGCTATCTATTTTATTATTAGGCTGGTATCTATTTTATCTGTTTTACATATTTTTTTGAAATTATATAAGTTTATTTTTTTTTAGTCACCCAGCAGATTTTAAGTTTGAAACAAATTCTGAAGTTTTTGATTTATTACCGGGTTCATATTTTGAAGGAAGTACACCATGTTTATACAAACAGGTATTGTTTTTTTTCCCCAACCTTTTTGATGGTCATGTAGCCTTTTTGATGGTCATACATATATATATATATATATATATATATATATATATATAATATATATATATATATATATATATATATATAATATATATATATATATATATATATATATATATATATATATATATATATATATAATATATATATATCAATACCACTAAAGGAAGCCACTTTAGTTCTTAAGACCAATTAAATAAAGATGATTCCTACAAATATTCTACCAAACTTATTATACTATTATATCAAAATATATTTAAAAAATAGTTATACGCTGCCTTTTTTATTGAGATCAATTTATATATTTATAAATTTTAGCAGATGTTAATTTTGCAACAGATTTGATATAAGGTTTCCAAGAAAGATCAGAAGTAAGAGTTAATCCTAGAAGATGAAGGGTAGATGACTCATCGAGCGCATTACCATTCATTCAGATGCTGCTTTTTAGCAGGCTAGAAAACAAAACTCTGATAAGCACTTGTTTACAGTTTTGAAAGGATAGACGACAGCTCCAGAGAACACTTCTGCAAGACTATAACAGGTATGTTGTGCGGGCCGCAAGCTGTAGAAGAGTCAAAGCAGGAAATCACTTTAGATACAGAATCTGGAGATATACAGATATTGAGCAATGGATCAACCTGTTTGATGGCTATATTAGGTAGAACGCAACTAGTGGGATCAAGAGATAATATTGATGAAAAGTTCTTAGCAAACAATTCAGCTTTGTCTTTAGGTGAGGTGACAAAGTCTGAACCATACAAAAGAGGTGGAATTACAGACTTGCCTTTATTATTGATACTATTAAAGATTCTCCAGAAGTCAAGAGAACCTAATTTTTGAGATGAAATACCAGATCTCATGATCTGAGAATAGCGGGCTTTGGCGTTAGACAAAACCTTTTTACAATGATTCCTAGCAGTAATAAACAGATGTCTGTTTTTTGGAGAATTGTTTTGCTGATAGATATGGAAGTAATGGTTTCGATTGGCAATTGCAGCAGCACAATGTGAGGAAAACCATGGAGAAGAAAGAGGCTTGACCTAGAATTGTCGAGAGGGAATAAAGGATTCCATGCCAGCCTGAATCCACGAAGTTATGTAAGAAGCGCATTTGTCAACAGAAAGACGAGAAATTTCTACCCAAGGGCCATCACGAAGAAAATCATAGAAAGAGTCCCAGTCAGCTTTAAGGTAGTTGTAAGATGCTTGATGATAGAGGGATTCTGATGATAAAGAAGAATGAGATAATAGTTTTAGAGAGACCAAACCATGATCGGAAGCACCTAAGGGTGAGTGTGAAATAACTGAGCACTGACTAGGATCAGAAACAAGACATAAGTCGAGTATAGAAGGTAAATGATTTGGGTTGTCTGGAAAGCGAGTTGGAATGTTGATTATTTGAGTTAGGGATTGAGAAAAACAAAAGTTGTGGGCTTTTATGCCTGCAGAGTCACTGACACTAGAGCCAAGCCATTCAGTGTGATGAACATTAAAGTCACCGACAACAACAATATTGGCTGATGTATAAAGAGAGAGGGCTTGGTTAATTTGATCAGAAATAACATCAAGAAGAGTGCAGTCTTGAGATGAAGGAGAGCGATATAGGACAAAGAGAAAGGTGATAGAGTGAAGTGGTGCTAAACAAAGGCTCATAAAAGAGTAGTCTGTAGATTCAAACCTAGTTTCCCGACAAATGGGCGAATTCTTATGAATGTAAATGCCCACGCCAAGCATGTGACTATTAGAGTCTTTACAAATTAAAGGAAGAGAACCATCAACACTAAGATCACAAGATGAGACAGCTGAACTCAAATTAGTCTTACAAAGAGGAAGTAGGTCTGGTGAACTTTGCAAGAGATAAGACTCAGCAGAAGAAAAGTTACATAGACCACGAATATTTGTGAATGATAGGTTTAGCAAATAGTTTATCAAAAATAAAATAGCGAATAGTTTATCAAAAATAAAAGTATTTCTGCATAAAAAAGATAAAAGTTCACAAACTATAAAATAAAAGTAATTATTTTGTATGAATACTTTCATCTTCAATTTAAAAAAATATAAAAGATCCATTTTTCCTTGTTAAATAAATATTTACATTAAGTGGAATAAAAATAAATATTGCTAAAATATTTTTAATGATTTAGAATCACTTTTCTGGTTTTCTCATATTTGGCTTAAAATCTGGGTGCGGATTCACAAAACTTTCGTAACTCTTGCATAACTTACAGAAATCGTACGCAAATTTATTTTTTTGTAACTATTTGGTATTCACAAACATTTTGCAGTGTTTGCATAAAGTTAAGTTTGTGCAAAAGCTACTCTTTACTTACGCAAAAAATCTTTAGATTTTTTAAGTAAGTCTAAGATAAATTATAAAAAAATGAGATATCATTTGTTTACATTTTAATTAAAATAAACAAGGTAGTATAAATGTATCAATAGAGCAACTATATATAGTTATATATACTTAACTACTTTTGCAATTATTATATCAACTTTTTTTTTAAATTAAAATCTAAGAAAATTGGTTAATTAGTGAAAATAAATTTAAACTTGAAAAAAAATAATGAAATTAAATTTAATCAATATTTTAAGGAATTATAGATACATATAAAATCTCTATGAAAATACACTTTATTCGAGACTCAGATTGGCATACTTTAAAAAAAAATATTTTTTTTACATAATATAATAAATTGTATTGATAGTTCATCAACAAAAAATTTTTGTTGTTGTTGGCCTGCGCAACTATTAAAAGCACTATTTTAAAGGAATTTTTTTAGAAGTTAATTAAAATGTTAGTTAGTTATTTTTAAATGATTTCTAATCAAGTTGAATGAAAACTGCTATAATTACCTTAATTACCTCTGTAATAAATATTTATTAACTGCAATAAATTTAACAACTACAATAAATTAAGGTGGTCAAATTTCTAAAATCGTATTTTCAACAAATATTATTTTTCAGATAATATTAAAAAATTGCTTTAGAAAAAAATAAAAAATAAAAATTTTACATTTGGACCCTAGTTTTGTGTCACAAACCATAAAAAGCCATGAGATTCATCGATAGGTATTGAGATAATAGTAGTTTCTATGAAAGCTCAAACTTTCAGTGTTTACTTATATTATAACAAGATAATCATTGAAGCAAAATTATTAACTTAGCTTAAAGTATGAAGAAACTAGTTAGCAAAAATTTATCCCAAATTAGCTCACTTCAGAACTCCGTAACTCTGCTCAAAAATAAATTCAATAAAATTTATTGCTTCAATGAGTTTATCATATATATTACTACAATTGTACAAAATTTCAAAGCACTACAACAAGTAGTTATTCAAGTTATTTATTGCAGCATGCTAAAAATAGCATTCTGAGAAAAAAACAATTTAAGATAATTAAAATTGAAAAAAATAAGTTCAAATATTAAAACAAACATTTATTTCATTTTTAAAGATTTGTTATCACTCCTCAATGTAAGAGCAGTAGTCTAATTTTATAAAAGTAGTTGTCTAAACTTATAAAAGTTTTTTATAAGCTTTATTTAACTGTTTAAGTTTCATTCAGAAATTAATATTCATGTTTAGCAAAACTGAAAAATTTTGAAATTATAAATAAATAATCTATAAATTTGTAAAAATTCTGGTAACCCTATTTCAAATTTCAATAAAAATATCAACTGGAAGATTGAATTAAACTAAAATCATTAAAAACATCATAAGTTATCTCATTGTATTTATCTTGATCAATTTAATCTTTTCATTTTGCTTTTTTTTTTTTTTAAACCAATTAAATTAAACCAACATTTGTTTCAAATGTTGGTTTAATTTATCAATTGATTTTTTTGCTATATTTTGAATTTTTTATCTTTTTGATTGCAAAACGTTATATAATTATTACCAGGATTACTAGTTCTAAATAAATATTTAGTTAACCACTTTATCTTTTAAACACCATTTTAAAATTTTTGCAATTAAAGAAATTTTATTGTTTTGAGTTTTTTTATGGCACCTTTCTAACATGTTTTTATCAGATAGATCAATAAATATTAACTTGATTATGTAATTACAACTAATTAAGGCTGTCTTGGTTTTTTTATTCGCACTTGTTTCAATAATATTGTCTGCTTAAAATTTGCACCAGGTATTAACAGTTCCACAACACATTGAATGTCTTAATTCTGAAAATGATGCCTCAAATTCACAAAACCACAGCTTTTGTAATGTCCTTTTCCTATTTTATGCATTGCAATTACTAAATATAGCTTTATATCAAAAAACATTAGAATTTTTATTTGAAACTTTTTTACTGGTATATAACTTCATATTTCATAAACACTCAGTGCACTTAAATAGCAACAAAGAACTTAAATTTTTTTTTATATACCTAAATTCATGTTAATAGACTTCATCTCACAGTCAGGGTATGCTTAAACAAAGGCAAGAGATTGTATAATAATATCAACATCAATAAAAAGATTATTGTGAGGGTGTGGAATAGCTTCATCATCGACAATGAGATAGTTGATTAAGATTGTAAATTTCGGCACAAAAAAAAATTATGATTCTTCATTCATATTAAAAAAAAAACTTGATTTGCATCATCCTTTTTTGAAAAAACCTGAGAAATACAAGTTTTTCTTCTCATCAAAACATCAGTTTTTTATATTTTTCAATTAGAATAATATATTTATTTTATTCTTCACTAAAAAAAAGAATAATAAAGACTTAAACTCAGGTTATATTTACCATTAATAACTAAAAAAGATAACATTAACTTTCAATCTACACATAAAAAAGAATTACATAACATTTTATCACAGTAAAGTGGTTTGGTTATATAACTTTTATGGCAAAAAGAAGCCAAACTATGACTCAGTATTTTTTAAAACCTTATTTTGGAAATGACAACATTTTAACAGAGTATGTAGTTATTGCTGTAAAAGGAACTAGTTATAAATTTA